ATGCCAATCACTCCATGCTATCTCGAGTGGAGAGCGAGAGCATAGTTGGAGTATTTGGATTGTATTCTACTAATATTATATGCATAATGTTTAAAATCTTTTGCAAGAGCAGAAAAGTACTGAAGGCATTTTTATGATGTATGGCATAACTTCAATACAATATCTAGTGTTAATAAAGTTTCTTAATCTTGGGGATCAGTGTCATGTAGCTAATTTAACTTCTGTAGTTTGTGAAACTCAAACAATTAAATTGTGAATCCAAAGGCTTTGTGATATGTTTAAGAATTAACAATGGGATTCACAATATGTAGCACATATTTCTTGGATTCAACCTGATGATAGTTAAGGGGGGAGTAATATGAGGTCTCTATGTATAGAATATGTATATACCATATATTTTAGAAGGATAATATTCTAGACTAACTAGCTTCATTGTCCAATATTTTGATATATGTTGTACATAAGTTTTAACTACAAAGCTTCTGAAAGGGTGACCTACATTACAGACAACACAAAGATGGGAGATAATTAAAATATATTTCCCATGCTTAACATAATAGGCTCCCACTTATGGGTGAGTCATCTCTCATTGAAATTCTTCTATAAGAGAGTCATCATCTGATGATTGCTTCAAGGATCTCAACTGTAATTCATTCTTGGGCCTCCAAACCAAGAGCTTTGATGTTGTGATGTGCACTATAAGCAAGTATAGAAGAAATTCTTAGGATTTTTCACCCAAGAGTGTATTGTGAGCTTCAATTGTTCTATGACAAGGCAATTTCAATATAGAGGGATTAAGCTCCACTACTCTAGATTCTTGTAGCCAAAGATGATTCTTGGAATGGTTAATTACTAGAGTGATGGGGAAGGTCCTTTTGGAATATATTGCCACACATGAGTTCTCGAATGAATATATAGTGACAAACTTGGAAAATGTATAGAACTTATTGACCTTAGTGTGATTGTGATCAGTAAGAACTTACATCTGGCTGGCTCAATTTAGATTTTGTGCCCATGTAGAGAGAGCAATCATGAAGCCAAATGCCATTTTCCCTTAGCTAAAAACTTAAACACAGATTGTATTAGTACCTTTGATTACAAATGAATTAAAGAAAAGTTTAAGAGCAGTAAATGATTAATTAACTTACATTAATTATTGTTCTAGGAGGTCCTTAACACATGCCTTCACACCAGGACGGAATGCTGAGAAAACCCTATCTCACAACAGTGTCTGGTTCCAAATTTTTTTCTTGACCATAGATGACAAAGAGTTCTCGGTACTGTTTATCAAAATCCACAATATATAAAGAGCTATAGGCAAGTGTCCCCTGTGCAGTAGCAGCATTAGCTGTATGCATTGCTGTGTCTAGGGCCTTTGTGCTGGGATGCCTGTTGAGCCACCGAAGCATCACTTTGTGATCCCATAGTGCTAGAATGATCTCGCTAATGCCTCACACTAGATCCTTGTGTGATCGTTATATACATACACTTTATTGATGATGAATATTTCTAAACAGGTGATCCTATTAAGTTAATCCAAAATTTAAAATTATTAAATAATTCACTTTACAATTGTTACAATTGAAAAATTATTACTAAATAGTTTGAAATTTAAAAGTATAGAAGGATAATATTCTCCTAGATCTTGTACATAATGGTGTTCCCTAGGCAGGCTAGAATGATGCCTTGCAGTAGATCCTCACTAGCTCCCGTGATGGTGTCAAAACAAAAACATGAATGACCAGGCAAGTTGGCCTTGAAGTCTACGACCAAGTTCCAAGATTTTACTTGATAGCTTGGTTTCTCTGGTTGGCATGGTGAGGACAATAATATGCTTCATCTGGAACCAGAGCTTTGTTTTTGCAGCGATCCCCTTTCAATTTTGTTCCACAACAAGTCTTGAGTTCACCCTTCACCACTGTTGCCGGCTCTTCCAAGAGGAGATCGTCGAAGACTGCAAGGCAATCGTGCACATCACCGAGTTTTCTGAAACGCGGATCTGAATGGGGCACATCAGTCAGCTGGACGGACTGGGGCATGATATAGTAGAACTCTTCCTTTACCGTCCACCGCTTTTTGGTTCCAGCCTTCCATTTCGGCAGAACTACTCCCTTCCAGACTTTATGGGACTCCTTCTTGGCCTTTGCCTTCCACTGAGCGACGGTGATCTGCATTGCTACAAACCGAAGCTCCTTTCCAACCAGTATGACGTAGATCACGTCCACAGCTTGCTCGTTGAAAGCCAGTGGACCCAATAGAACGCCTTGTGTAAGCTCCTTGGTTCCCAGCTTGTTAAGAGCAGTTGTCTCTGAGCCGTGT